GGGGGATGAGAGGATTCACCAGAGGCAGAGTGGGGAACAGAACAGGAAGATCTACTGACATATAGTCCTGACATATAGTGGGCAAGTCAGGAGAGGTCTGCCACACCAGACCTCTGGGTCAGCTACCTGGCTGGACACCGAACTTCTGCTGCAGTGGCTGTGATAGCTTTATAGTGCTGAGGCAACATCTTGTGCCACTAGGGAGGCCCTTGATTCTAGTCTTAATGAGGTGACATTGGATAAATCTTTTTCCTTGATGCCTATACTCCCTTACCCCAAAAGGATGTGAGGTAGGGGTTTTGGTGATGTCATAAGATAGGTGAAATGCCTTGTCCAAAGTCACATCATCTGGAAGTGGCAGAAGGTGGGTTGAAGCCCAGCTCTTTTTACACCAGTTTTCCCCACTCTCCAATTCTGCATTCCTGGGGTGGAAGTGAGTGGCACAGAAGAAACCAGGCTGGCAATGGCAGGGACCCAGAGATTGAATTTGTTTTATGAGTTATAAAATTCTGCTACTAGAAAAGATTTCCAGACAGTGTTATTGCAGTACTTCTAGAATTCCCTAAGCCATAAGAAGGGATCTTTTCTAAGACAAGGCAAAAAGTGAGTCCGAGGGCAGAAAATAAGTTTGCCACTCCTCATCACATAGGAGAAAGCCAGGGAGGCTACCTGGAAAACAAGAACATGACCTGTAGCTGGGACAACAGGAAAAGGAAAGCTCGCTTTGAGAGGCCCCCCAGATGCCATGTGGAAAAGGTTTCCCCAAATCAGACATGTAAACAGAATGATAAACCAAAACTGGATTCAATTTTATAGCACTGGGTGACTGGGAAAATTATTTGCTCTTCTTAAGCTAAATTGGGGCATGATTCCAGCCTTGGGTGTCTGTGATACTTCTCTTCAATGGTCTGAGAAGGCTTATTAGAGAAGTAACATGATGCCCTTTATCTTCCACTGTGGTGGGCTGTTCTGAGCTCACAGCCCAAGAAGATCACTGGTATCATCAGTATTGAAGATGTCCTCATTTCATAGGTGAAAAAAAAAGGGAAACTATCAAACAACATATTTAACAACGGCTCAACAGCACAAATAGCTGCAGCAAATATTTACCATGTGCCAAACACTGCCTCCAGGCCTTTGTATGGTTTAATTTTTATTTAATTCTCACAACCAACCTTATAAGGAAAAAGCTGTTATTCCCAGTTTGCAGACTAGGAAACAAAAGCAAGTGGGTTAGGCACCTTGTCTGAGATATCACACCAAGCATTTGGTGGAGACAAGTCTTTAAGCGATGCCACTAACCAGCTAGCTATCCATGTGGCTTTGGGCAAGTTGCTTCCATTTTCTATTCCAGAATGTTGCTGTGGGGCTAAGGCATACTCAGTAAATATTCAGGAAACAATAGCTGTTTTTCCTTTATAAAATGCAGATACTGGACTAGGGTTCACTGATCCTTGTTGCTTCACTAGTTTTCTGACTAAGAAAGCAGAGGTTCAATGAAGGGAAGTGTTGACTTGAAAGGGTCTCTTGAGCTTGTTGCCCCCTAAGGAATGGTTAATGAGGCAGGCCCAGGGGACACCTGCTTGTTCATTTCAGAGTCATAGGAAATGATGTGGCTCTGGCCTACAACTCATTCAGATCCAAACCTTGTTGGCTAAGTTTAACCCTTGAAGTATTTCTTCCTCTCAGCTGCTGGGTAGCGTTTGGCTCTCTTCCAATCCTGTGACAGTTTCCAGGCCTCCAGGCACTTGCACTGGCTAGATGTCCTTAATTGTGAATTCAGTACTCAAGCCCAGCAAAGAAGCCAATTCTTTTTCTTCTAGATTTGCTCCCTTAGGCTGATAAAAGGATGGCTGGGGCCTCGAATTAACTTTCTTGTAAACTCTACATCATCGGATACCTGCCTCATCATCAACCACCGGACCACCCCTTTCCTTAGCAGAGTGCACTGAGAACAGTGTTTAACAGGAAACCCTATGTGGGCTAGAGGCAAGCTCTCAGCTCCTGTCTCTCACCAGAGTGTGAGAACAATGTTCTGGAAAGAGCTGTGAAGTGTAGATTTTACTACTCCTCCCCCTTGGTGTTTGTCTGGGGCTATATTCTACCTCCACACACACATCCATGCGCACCCCATCCCCACCCATTCAAGATGATCATAAGTATTAAGTGTTAACAGTGGAACATCAATTAAGTTAAATAATCACAATAGCAGCCAATTAAGACATACTTTTCTAGTAAGTAAGGTGAAGTTGAAGGCTCTTCCCTGATTATCTCACCCAAACTTTATGACCACATTGGAAGGAGCACTTTTTTTTTTTTAACCTTTTGAAAAGACAGGTTTACTAGGAAAAGGAGAAAGAAAAAGGCACCTGCATAGTCACAAGCCAGCATGAGAGCTGCTGTTCCTGTTTTGCCGAGGAGCATTTTTTATACACTTTCCAGGGAGGAACTGAGACCTAGTAAAGTGCCATGTCCAAACTAAACAGCTAATAAAATGTATCTGAGAATTATCAGTATCTCCCTCCAAGTCCCAGTATCTCCAATAAGTCCAGTGGCTTCCTGGAAATTTGCTTTGAATTGCAAAGAACAATAGCAAAAACAGAAACTTAAAACAAACAAAATAACTGGCTTTCTAAGTCCAAAGCACAATGTTCTAGTTCTGGAATTGCCTCCAATTCAGGTGACAATAGACAAGCCACCTGCCTTTTCTTGTTTAGATAAAATGATCCTCCCAGCTCTGATACTTCCTAAAAAAAAAACAATATGGCCTGCTGGTGGTTGCAGGCAGTACTAAGTTTAAATCTCAATTCTGCCATTTGTTGGAACACATTTAACCTCTCTGATTCTACCTGCCCATCTGTAACAGCTACCAAGTAGGTTTGTCATGAGGATGAAATTAAACAGTGATCTGGGCATTCATTGGTGTCTGTACCTTGGCTGCCTTTGTTACAGGGTAGGGTGAGGGGGGCACCACTGAACCCCCAAACCTGCCTGCTCTGAATATGTTCTGCCATCCACCGCATCAAGACAAAACATATAAGACTTTAATTAAAAGGAACTTTAATACAATGAGTATACAATACAGAAGACAATATAACAACTAAGCCAAACACTTGAAGTAACCCACTCCCCCCACCGTGGGCAAAATCTACCCAAAAGGGATTGACCCAAAGCAAGGCCTGAAAGCTTGACACAAGACTAAAGCATCTTCTGGCCGGGACCCATAGAAACGGGTCAGAAATGGCCAGACAAATCTGGGAGGAAAAGAGCAAAATCAAAATCAAGATAAACAGTGCGATTGTCAACCGCCCCACAGGTCTCTCACCCACAGCTCTGTCAGCCAGTCCAGAACCAAGAAGCAAACATGGTTTCTTCACTTGTCTCCCTTTGCTCCTCCATGTGGCTTCCTCAGGTCTCCTTGGCTCTCCATCCTGCTTCCTTCTGTTCTCTCCTTTTTCTCTGCTCAGCCCCACCCTCCTTTCGGGTGGGGCAGGGAACCTGGAACTTCTCTTTTTCCTGGGGACCACCCTGCTACACCTTGAGGAATTTGCCCCTCCAGCAGAGTGGCGCAGACTGCTTCTCCCTGGGAAATTAGTAGTGGCTCAGTTACATAACGAATTGCAGTAACCTGTGTTGCCTGAAGGAGTTCTGCCGTGCCTCCATCAGAAGAGGATGGAAGGGGTTGGCAGCCATTCCAACCACACCTGCTTTTTCTGGCCAGTGCACCCCCCACCCCCACCCTAGCTCCCAGTCCTGGCCCAGGAGCAGCCGGGGTAGAATTACCACAAGCTCAAACTCTGCCAGAGGCCCTCAGGCTAACAAGATGGCTTTTGCTTGGCTGGGAAGTGTGGGCAAGCACCCTGTTTCCTCTTAAGGGTTTAGGGCAGCTTGCCGGGGTGGGTCTTTGTCCTGATTGTTTAGGCCATGAGCTTCAGATGGCCAGTCTGACTGAGCAGCTCCCATGCCTGTGCCCACGCCTGCTCCAACTCAGCCGCTCTAGAGGGAGCACTCATTTGCTGATAAAAAGACAAGGGAAAAACTGTAAGTCAACACCACTCCACCCCCCTAGGGAAGGAACTGAGTCAGTGAATAATCCTTTTGTTCTTTCTTGGTTGCCAGACAATAGCCAGGCTGTCCCTACCCCCACCTGAAGAGGCCCTGAGAAGGGACTGGGTGGTCAAGTGGTCACTGCAGCAGGGCTGGTGCTCATGTCTTAGAAGGACCTGTGGGTCCTTTTCTTTGCATCTCCAGGACTCACAGGCACTGTTAACAGGAGACACATGGGGTTGAGTGTGTTTTGAGGCATCTAAATGACTGTGACTATTACCTAGACAAGTCCCAGCATCTGCTTCCTTTACCCTTGGCTGCTTTAACAGCTCTGCTCTGCCCCATTAATACTGATAGATTTCCACTCCCTCCCCCCGAACTCATAAGACTTGTATGTGATGCAACCTGACCAGAGCCAGATGCTTGGTAAAGGGGGCAGGCAAGGAAAGCAGGGCTTTGAAGGCAGACTCCAAAGCTCAGTCTCTTCACCTGTAAAATGGGGATGTTAAATGGGTGGAAATTAAATGAAGATGATACATACATAAAACGTATGGCAACCAGAATAGGCAGTGTTTGTTATCCTAAGATAAGAGAAAGGCTATTCTTGGCATCTCAGTAGATACTCAGACAAGTATGAATTCCATTTCCCTCTAGCTCCAAGCCCTGCAAGGCCTTTTGAAATTTAGGTTTGGAGAAACACATTTGCACTCTCCCCATCTTTTTGCAAATTGCCGTTTGCTTTTCTGCTGGATTGTGGGGGGAGGGTTTCTCTGGATAAAATTAAACTCAGACCTTCAGGTTTGTCCAAGTTTCTCTCTAGGTGGACAACCTTCACAGAATTGGCTTTTTGTTTCAGTATGAAAGTAGATGTCTTTCCTCTGTGTGGCAGCAGCTATAAGTGATGCCTGCATGTCAGGCTGGGAGTGGGGATGCCCTTGGTCCAGAGAACCATCTTTCCATGTGCCTTTACTTCTCCTCAGGCTCTTGCTACTCTGCCATAGGAATTGGTAGTATCTAACTTAGAGGTTAATGGGAAAGCTGGGCAGGAGCCTCAGACTTGCATTCAGAAACTCCATTACCCAGGTTGATTGAGGGGGATGAGCTCACAAATTTGACTTCTGTGACCTTACATTAAGAGGGGATCAGAACATGTCTCAAGAGTCAGGAATCTTCAAGGATGTCAGGGTCCTTGGAGATAATCAAATCCAACCCCTTGTTTTACAGATGGTGAAATTAAGGTTCAGTGAGGAGGGGTGTCACTGGGGTCATGTAAATAATATTTGCCTAGGCTGGTCAGCATGACAGTTTTCAAATTAAGATAAAGTAGCTTGGTTGAGTCAAGTCGTATTCAAGGCCAATCACAACCTCCTGTGAGCTTTAACAATGCTTTCACATTCATTATCTTATTTTGAAACAAAATTATCCCCATTTCACACATGAGGAACAAGGCTCAGTGAGACCAAGTGTTTCGCCAGGTCTCACACAAGGCCGAGCTGGTACTAGAACACAAGAGAATTGGTTGCTCTAAAGACAGATCTGAGGCACCTGTGCAAACTGCTCCCCTCCCTCCTCTGCTGGTCTCTCAATATTCCTGTCTACTCTGGAAACTTTTGTCATTGCATACTGCCCCTCCTCCATCATGATGGATGTGTAATCCGTGTGATCTCAGCTATCTCCCTGAGGATATCTGAAGCATGCCTGTGTTGCTTCACCAAGTCATCCATCAAACTGTCTGTTTTCAAGGCCTTTTTGGGGTGGGCTCCGTCCTGGGAGACTTCTGACAGCTGAGTCCATGTGTTTAGTTGCTGGCTTCAGAGGTTGTTGACCTGGGTACTGGGCGCTGCTTTTGTTGTGGCTTGCCAGGCACTTACCAAACCTCTGGCTTGCAATGGGGGGTCAGACACCTATTCTAGTGGGAGGCACCCTGCATATACAGCCAGAAGACAGCTTGAGTGCTACCCCCTCTCTTCTTTGGGGTGACCCTGCTCAAGTCAGAACTTCTGAATATCAGCCAGCATCCAGCAGACTTGGATTTGACTTTACTATGTCCTTGGAGAGTTCCTTAATTTCTTTGTGCCATCTCCTCATTGTAAAACAAATGAAAAGACAGTTATTCAGGATGAACTGAAAATGAAATGAGATAATGTATCTGAAATCCTTGGCATAGAGTGACTGTTCCATGTGAGTAAAATGGGACTGTACAATCACCTAGTAGGGTGGCTGAACACCAGTAAGATGTTAGAAGCATTAAAAGTCCCCAGTCTGACGGTCGGTGTCTCCCACTGACCACAGCAGCCCTGAGTCTTTTTTGCCCCCGACATGGGCTGGAGAAGTACTTTCATCCAGCCGGAACCTATACCTCCTTGGGCGTGGGATAATGCAATGGTCTTAGAACAGGATGGTTATGTCAGTTTTCTGAGGCCTGGAGTAATTCTCTGGGTCTCTTGGAGCTCTGAGCTGAAAGAAAACTACCTTTAAGTCTCCTGGTTTTTTAGACTACACTTGGTGTGGATCATGGACACTGGTGGACTTAGTCTTGGACTTAACCTTTCCTTTATACTATTTTCATTGAGCCCCACTGCAAAGAGGTTCATACTACTATCATCCTCACTTTACAGATGAGGAATCACAGACCAGAAGTGTTAAGACCCCCTTGTTGAATTAAGGCAGTCTGTCCGAATGGAGATCTAATACTTTAGTCACTGATTTGCCATGACCATGGCTGCCCCTGCCTCTGCCTCAGGGATGGTACCCACTAACAAGCTGTGCTGGAGACATAACCGAACGCTTCTCTTTTCCTGTCAGGGGGAAGGACCTGAAAGAACGACATGAGCAGAAAGTATGTGAGAGAGAGATGCAGCGAATCACACTACCCCTGTCTGCCTTCACCAACCCTACCTGTGAGATTGTGGATGAGAAGACTGTTGTTGTCCACTCCAATCAGACTCCAGTTGCTGACCTTCAGGAGGGCAGTGCGCCCCTCATGGGCCAAGCAGGCACACCTGGGGCCTGAGACTGCTCCCCACAATGGACAGGAGCCCAGGCAGACACTGGTACAGGCCAACCTACCCTCCTACAGTTGGGAGAATCTACACTTTTTGTTGTGGTTAAATCCCTCCCCCTACTTTTTCTTTGTGTGTGTGAATCCTGAAACATAAGCAGGTATTGCTGTAGCTGAGGGTGACGCTGGGTAGGGTCCTGCCAAAGTTCCTTTCCATCCCTTAGAGGAGTATTTTGCCTGTAGATGGAGACGGTGGCAGCCCCCACAGTAGTGCTGCTGACAAGGGCTTCCAAACATACCCGTGCCCCAGAATTGAACCAGGGACGGATGGGAGTTCTCCCAGACTCCCTCTGTGTTGTTATCCAAGATGGTCTCAGCCTTTGCCTTTCCGTTTATTCTCTGTGGGCTCGAGTGACGCACACTGTTATTCATAGTTCAGGTCAAGCAGGTCGTGGTTGTGGGACAGTTAAAAGTATATAGTTTTTTTAAATATCTGGGATGGAACTCCCTACTGACCTCTGAGAACCGGAAATAAGTTTTGTACAAAAAGTAAAAACTGGGCTGAGAATGAGACTATGCTTGTTTGCTGGCAGCAATGTGCCTTGACAGCCATAGACTGGGCCCAAGGCCCAGGGCCTCTTCCTGTTTCAAAGCGCAGGGAAGAACTCACTGGACATTCCATATGAGGGGGTAGAGAAGAACCTATGGCTGCCTTAGACTTCAGCTCCTGAGGTGGACTGAGGGACCCAGTCTCTTCAGGTGACCGGTGGACTTTTTGCATTTTGCAGGGGTGAGAAATAGCCAGCTAACCTGTGGGAATTACACTATGGGGTCCTGTGAGCTGCCTCTGAGAGGTTACCCTGGAGACTAAGCTCAGAGGCAAGGCAATGAAGTACGCCAGGGCTTGCTTCTGCAGTGGCCTGAGTCTGTTGGCTGCCTAGTGGCCTCCAGGCCAGTGCCTTTCTCTGGGGCAGCTGAGCAAGGGTCACAACCTGTAACTAATACAACAATCATAGAACCACTGTAAGGGATCTTAGGGGCCCAGAGGGGGGAGGGATGCCCCAGGTGATTGAGCAGGCTACTGGGCTGCCCAAGGGCAGAGCATTTCTCCACTGTAGCGTGTTGTGCTGACGGCTCAGCAGGGCCTGCAGCCGTGTTCCACTGGGAGGCCATGGCAGTGTCCCTGACCATAACTTCCTTCCCAAACCCCTCCCACATGCAGCGTGAGGGAGGGGGTTAGTGGGAGCCCATTCTCTTCAGCAGCTGTTCCCTGGAGGGGTTTGCTGATGGAACACAGAACTTGGGGGTCCCTTGGAGTCAGTGATGCTGACGAGAACATTACTAGTTTCTACTTTTCTATAAAAGCATTACTCTGTATACGTTTTTTTATATACCTCATTCTGATACCTGTGTATAAAGTGCAGGAAACTGCTCTGCATTTGACTACAAATAAAAAAAAAAAAAAGACTTCAAATTGCCAAATTTTTGCCAAATATTAGGAAGCTTTTGGTTACCTTGTCAGTAGCTGTATGGCTCTGGCCCTATAGCTGGGAGGTGGCAAATTGCTTGGGTGGTAACTGCAGCCTCTACTTATGACAGTCATCATCACAGGGACCTTCTCAGCTGTAGCTGTAGAGAAGATGGGTATGCAGGCACCTGGCCACTACAAACCCTCTTCCCTGGGCTTTCTTTCCGAACGTCCAGGCAGTCTTGTCAGCAGGTACAGACAGGTAGTGCCGCAGCAGCTGCAGGAACGGGTGTGGGGAGGGATCGGACAGTTGGGCTGCCTGGAGCAGCTATGGGCTGAGCACACAGCTTGGGTGCCTCCTGGGGCTCCAGAGGAAAGCCACCAAGGAGTGTTTGCTCGACTCCAGCAACAAGGCATGCCCAGGAGACAGTTGCCTGTGCCAGTGTGTAGCACACCTGTGGGGTTGCAAGAGGTGCCCAGAGCATGTTTCTCCAGGAACCAGATTCTGTCCTGAAGCCGAACTCCTCAAGCTTCGGGAACAGGTGCCTTGGATGTGTGCCTTTGTATCATGGCTGGGGTCCCGTTAATCGGACAGCAGTATCCTGCCAATGGACTCCTTGTGCAGCGCCCCCATGTGCAGAAGCAAAGAATAGGTTTCCTAGGGGAAGCACTTGTGGGGAAACAAGTGGTGGGGGTGACTTGCATTCATTTCTTCCCACGATGAACCTGGAAACGAGCCCTGTGGACAGGACAGCAGGATATCCAAGCTGTAGGAAGGTATGAATATCAGAAGGTGGGAATGGAAGGCCCTAAGGGATGACTAGCTGGTGGGTGGGAGTCAGTCGGACCTGCTCGAAGGACCTGGTGGCCTCAGGGATGCATGTTCTCTGAGCAGGCTGGTGTCTATATAAGGAGAGGTGATGAGAATTGGGAGTATGATGACCCCTTGCTGTGTGGAATCATGCAACCTAGGCCTGAAAAGTGGCCAGGAACATTCTCCACATTTATCTTCCCGAGCCAGGCTCCCAGTGACTTTCACTTTCAGAAATGTCAGTTATGTTAACTGCTTCATTTATTTGGTCTATTCCATGGCCCAGCTTGGGGCCTCCACTCCCACACTTTCCAGGGACAGATGAGCCACAAGCAGCCATGTAATGCTGACCTTGCTGCAGCTGCTAGGAGCCTAGACCTCAAGCCTATAGCAAACTGGCAAACTCCACACACAAGTATGGTCCACCTAACAAGGAAACTGGCCAGAAATGACATCTAACCCTACAACTCATCAGGTCTATGTACAGTATTTCGCATATCACCCAATAGATACAATAACATTATTAACAGCAACCATTCTCCTGGATCATTCCCTACCCATCCCACCCCAATGCAACCATCACACACTGCATTAAGTTCCAAACCTATCCCGGTATGTTAAATATGGTGCAAGCTCATAAACACCTAGGAGGTGGCAACTCTACTTGTGCTGACGAGCCCCTGGAGCTGAGAGCCAAGGCTTTGCAGCACCTGAGGCTGTGACTCAGGAACCTGAAGTCAGGAGCTAGTGAGCTGGCGAGTCAATAAGGGGAGGTAGAAGCCAGACAGCCCAGCTCCGGGGACTGTTTTCCCAGCATCTCAGCTCCGGGACTCTGCCACCACCTCTTCACACCCAAACTGCTTCCTGTACTAGGCATAGTAAAGGGTGAGCAGTGGCTGCATGAGGACAAGGTCAAGAGAGTGCTAAGATTCTTACCCCCCAAGTCACATGCTGGTCCTGTGACAAGTCCCATTGTCCTCCAAAACCCACCTAGCTCTAGGCAAATGTCTTGACTTCTGACCGAGGAATACATCTAGGGTATGAGAGCAGCAAGGATATGGGCTTTGTAGAGGGAGGGTCTTTCCAGCCTTCAGCCTCTTCTGCACCTGCAGGTGACTGCTTGTTGCAGGAGGGAAGGTGCTGCCCAGAGCACTCAGCCAGCCTCCAGCAATACAGCTAGAGAACATGAGCTAGAAGGTCCCCCCACTGACATGGCTCAGTGTGAACACTACGGGGAACAGGCCAGCCCTTCCCCTGACTCCTGGCCAGCCCCACCACAAGCCAGAAAAGGCCACTTCAAAACCTACTCCCTCAACCCCTGCCCTGGAGGGGGGTGGGCATGGAGTGGAATGGGGGTAGCACCACTGTCATTTCACGTCCTCAAAGTACCACCAGGCCACCAGTCTCTCTCGTCCATACTGCCGTGAAGTCCTGTGCCCAGGTGGAACAGAGATCACAGAGTCCACAGGCAGGTTCACTCTCGGATCCTGACCAGCAGGTCCAGGTCACGCTGATTAGTGTTAGGCAAGAGCCTCCCAGAATCTCACTGCCAGGGAGGTCCCAAGTGATCCCACATAACAGATTCCTCTTGGCCTAGGAATCAGGCTTTCTTCTTCACAGCTTTCAGGTGAGTGTTGGATTTATAGACAGTCATCAGTCCCCAAAGCCTGTGGAGATGCATTTCCCTGGTGTGCGCCTGCTGGCCTCCTCGGGAGGTAGTAGGGATGGCTTGTTCCACTTCTAAGTCACCATCCACAGGAAGCCTGGGCGGCCCTGCCCACAGCAGGGATGGGGCACAGAGGGGCAATGCTGTTGTGGAACATCCTCCTGCAGGGGCTGGGTCAGGGCTAGGGGGGTGAGTCCCGGGTCAGGCCATACTGCACACTCACAGTGTGGTCCAGCTCTTCCAGCTCTGCCGGCAGTGGGATGCCCAGCTCCCCCAGGTACAGGGACAGGGCCTCAAATGAGTCCTCCAGTTTTGAGAATGCTGGTCTAGAAAGAAAAGGAGTTGGAAGAAGGTAAGATGTGGCAGCGTCATGGCAGGGGGTGGAAGGCAGCCAGGCCTGAGACTTAGCTACTTCCTAGCTGTCTGATCTGGAGACAAGCCTCCTAGCCCTGTCATGCCTCTGTGGAAAGTAGGGACAATAAATGTTACTGTTATTACATAGGGTGCTGTAAAAATTAGAATAGGCTGGCCTGACTCAAGGAATGGCTTAGAGGAAATTGCATTCGTCAAAGGTGGGATTAGACCAAGTGCCTTTTTAATAAAAAAAATAAATAAATAAAATAAAATAATTTTTTTTTTGGGGTGAAGGGGGTGGGAAGAGCACAAGGGAATATGATGATGGACACTGGGTGCGTTAGTGGTAGGGGAACTATAGCGACCACACCTGAGGGGAAAAATTATACAATGTCCCCAAATTAACAATGATTGATGTAAGGAAAAGAATGTATTAAAAATTAAAAAAAAAATTTCTTTTAAACAGGAAAGAAAAAGCTTATAACTTTAATTTTAATTTTACATGGAGGGCATCACATAAGGAAGCAAATATGCAAATGAACAATGATATTTAAGAGCCTATTTATTGATGGGGTTCAAGACATGCTACCCCAAATTAATGCCTTTTCTAGAGATCCTTTCTAGTCCTCATTCTTTCCACTTTACTAGATCTGTTCTAAAAGGGGCATTTCATACAGTCAGCAAAAAGCAAACACCAGGTTCCGAGTGCTGATTCTGAAACATCACAGGTTTACTCCTCCCTCCGTAGTTTTGCTTAAATGTTTTGTCACTTTCTCAGACCACCAAGTATTAACACTGATCTTTGCACCCTAAACAGCCCTCTTTCCTTGGTTTGACCCTTTCCACAGCATTTCTCACTCTCTAACACCCAGTACAGTCTGCAATTCCATCTGTTGGGGCCACCTGTGAGAACGCTGGCTCACTGGGGCGGGCACCTTAATTTTGTTTACTGCTGCCAGCCAAGTCTCGAGCAGCACAGTAGGTACTCAGCGACTATTTCTGGAATGAATTACATATAAACATTTACAAACACCATGACTTAGAAGAAATATTAGCAAACAAGCAATGTATAGCTTCACATCTTCTCCTCAAGCTCTTATTCTGGGGTGGTGAAGGAATGCGGTTCTTTGGTCCATACAGAAACTTGATAGAGCTTCCCACCAGCAATCCCAACTCTAAAATGAACCTTTGGAAAACATTTTAAAATAAAGATTATGTGCCAACTCATCTTAAAGCAACTAGCAACAACAAACGTTGGCAAGGATGTGGAGAAAAAGGAACTCTCCTGCACTGCCGGTGGGAATGCAAACTAGCGTAGCCACTATGGAAAGCTGTTTGGAGGTTCCTCAAACTGCTAAACATGGAGCTTCCCTACGACCCAGCAATCC